CATACAATCACCGACATAAAATGTATCTCATTCGCCAACTTTCATTCTGCATGGACAGAAGGGAAAAAGGTACTTTTTTAAAATTCGTCAATAAATCTCCCTAAAACAATTAAGATTGATGGAGGGTGGCACTGAAATTTAATACTGGGCGAAGTATATCGTGAGATTCATGCTTCGGGAATTTCATTTGTCCTCCGCGATGAGGGACGATGGATGAGGGATGCTAATGAGGGAACACACCTCGCCCTCGAAAATCCCCCGAGGATATCGCATTCGTTTGACTTTCACACGCAATTTCAGCAAACACGGACCTCTGGATTAAAGGGAATGAGGTTGGTTTTGATATTAGAGATTGCTTCTTACTTTGACCATTTCGAGGAAGTCTCAGTGAAGAGTGAATTCCCACAGGATGACGAATAAATTTGGAGTGTAAATATGAATTTTGAGGCTTCAAACAAGGGGGGTGAACTTTGGCATTTCTCTATGTGTACCTATCCAAGTGTGGGGTGGTTAACTACCGGGTGTTTTTGTGTACACACAAACTTCTAGCCATGCTTGGGAGTGTGGGAGACAATTGAAATTGCTTGTTATTAAATTCACAATAAATATTGATCTTGTGAACTTGGTTTCATGTACTTGATGGGGCGGTGAATATAAGTGGAGTTCATCCTAATGAAATTAATCAATTACACACGCCAAAGGGGAGACATTTTCAGTTACATATGTATGCTGCTTAGCGCAGAAATGCAGAGTTTCTCCACGAGAAAAATACCTAATAAATCGAGAGCTGGCCAAGTGTCAACCTGCTTCCAACCATATGTTTAGAGCGCCCATTGAGGCAATATTGTGTGTGCTATTTTCAAGTGTGCGCAGTGCCTTTTTGCACCCCTCAAAATGTAATTTAAATTCAACATTCTCCGGCCTCTCATTGACACCGACTCTGGTGGTTTTCACCTCAATCCCGACTCAGCCAGATGATGATGATGATGCGAGGGTCTCGTCACCCCTTCGGCGTGCTGTGACGCCAAGGGAGAAGCGCGTAATATTGACGCAATATTACCCAGTTTCATAGTGAAACAAAATAATCATCAATGAGAAACTCTGCGGGCGACTCTCAGTCACTTAAGTCATATCCCATATGGAGAGAAGTCGCTTTAATTTGTGCACACGCAAAGCCCATTGACACTGTCTCTCTTTGAGACCCTCTCACTGGCCATCTCATCACCGTTCCAGGGCAACATCATTGCCACCGCCGAGCTAGGGTGAGTTGGGAGTTGTATAGATAGGAGAATTTCAGCTGTTGTATGAACGCAACGATTGTGAAAATTTATTTGTGGAGTTTATTTGGAGAATAGCAAATGACCATCATCTCTGAGTGCTACTAGCGATGATTCTATGACCTTTTAATGTTATATTTAGAAGACAGATGAGTAAACTTCCAAGTACTGAATATCTAAATTAAAAATACCGTTCACAATAATTTTTCCAATACCCTTTATTTCATCTTTATCTATAAATCTCTCAGCTTGGATAATTTGGCGCCTCAAGTCTTTTATCTGCGTCGCCCAAAATCAATTTCCAAATCAATAGTAATCATTTCTAATCTCTCTGATGCGACAATCATGAGGACCAAGTAGGCTGATGGCAGACTGCGTGAACGATCTCAGGCAATTATTGGAGGTTGTAATTCAATTTTCTGTCTTTTTTGCCACTATGTCGAGGGGTTGAACAGGAGGGATAGATATTCGCAAGAGTGAACCATCCAAAACCCACCTTCCCTAGAGATAGAGTGGAAGAAAATTGCAGCAAGGATCAAATTTCAACACAATTTCCACTCCTATTGGATTGATGTGTATTCTCCACTGCGACTTCTCTCCATATATGCCCTTGATGGGAGAATTTAACAGGATTACACGGAAAAATCTCCCCAAGAGGGGCGCGCGCGACAGGCAAAAAAGCATTTTTTCGGCGGAGAGAGAGAAAAACAGACGAAAAAGTTGATAAACGACTTGAAGATGAAGGATGTTTGCGGTGGAATCGAAAAAAAATTTCATTAAAATGAGTGAAAAATCGATAGTAATCAGGGAGGAATCATAATTGCCTTAATTGAATTCACGCACAGCAATGAATTATCATGGGTTTTGGGTGACAAATGGAGATCATCTGGCAAAAATCTGAGACTCGAGGACGCCCCGCTGTGATGCAAAATGCCTCAGAACCACTCGGGGAAATCACCAATTTCCTGTCGCAATTGCCATGGGGTGGAACGAGAGGAATTATCCTTGCAATTATCGAATTCATGCGACGAATGCGTGAATTAAAGCTCCATGCAAAGGTATCTTTGGTACAATGAGACTCGTGTAATTAGTGACATAAAAATCCGAGTGTTATGAGCCAGTCGAGTTCAACTGTATTGCTGAGGGTGCGAAGGAATTACAAAATGAGGGGGACTCGCGAATGAGATTGAAATCTCGAGAGAGGTTTTAATGTTTGAAAATTTCTGTGGAAATTCATAAAAGTGCTTTGGAATTTCAGCTCGATCCCGTTGTCATATAGAAAAGTATTCAAGGGACATGAAAAAAATTTAAACGTTGTCCATGTTTGAATTTTTGAAAAAATACTGAAAAATTCAAAAACTGCAATCTTTCGTGAAAACTACGCTTTCCCATTGTTCAATGGGAACTTTTTTGGCCACCCGCTGGATGAGAAAAGGCGTGTTAAGCGCCTGAATGAAAATGCAAATGACTTTAATTGACGACATACGGTGTGCTGAATAAAAATTATTCACATTCACCCCGTCCATCGCTTAGCATTCTGAAATGTAGCTCTGAAAATCAGAGTGTCATGAATGACAATTGTGAATCTCAATCGCGGTGTAAATTGCTCACACAAGGATTTAGTACATTTAATTGGAAAGCTCATCCTTATTATCCTCGTTGGCTGTGTCACACTCTCTGTTTCGTGGAATTTAATTTGCAACACTGTTGGTCGTTCAGGGACGTGCACTGGATTCTACGATCTGGGCAAATGGGTGAAAAAAGGAAAACCTTCAGATCGCACAACCCTCTCATGAGCGTCTGTAATTAATCAGAAGGCTGTCAAGGGATCGTTGCTAAGGATTCGTCATTAAACCCTTCTTCGGGTGTGGCGGGAGCATTTAATTTATCCTCTCACCTTCAGCGATACTAAAAGTTATTTCAATATTAAATTATGTGCCATTTATCCGTGTTGGAGCCTTTCATTGCCTTTCCCAAACCCCTTTTGTGAGTTTGGCTTCTGAGAAACTTTGCACCGAATTAATCGAGATAAATCAAGTGAATCTGTTTAATTGTCGACTTGTTGGAAAATTCATCGTTTTCGGTGTGCTCGACGTTGGAGAGAGATTAAAACTGGTTTAATGTGTGCCCCTAAATCAAGTTGTCTGTCTTGGGAGTCGCACAAGACGCACCCCAACTCCGCAACCTTGCCAAAATGGGGTGCTTTGCTGAATGTATATGTGTGTGAGCGCAAAACCCTTTTTACCACCCCATTAAGGTTTTCCAAAAGGACTGGGATTTTTCGGATTGTTTTTCATCTCCACCCCAGAGGGAAAGCTCTGTCTGTGAGAGCTTTTCCCTGTGAATTTTTGCCAGAGCACGAAGATATTTTCCACCATAAATTTAATAGCAAACTACCTTGAGATTTTCTCATATAAATTCCTCTTTTGAGTGGGTGTAAACCCACCCCATGTAGATTTTTTTCTTCTTCCTCCACGAAGAAAGCTCTGGGATTTTAATCAATAATTTTTCATCCATTTTTCGGTGAGATTCATTCCTCATTCCATGTCTATTCGCCAGCACTGAAAAACCTCAAACTCTTGTGTTTCTTCTTCTCTTTATCCTCCTCTCTTCCCTGAGGACGATATGGCGAGTTGTGGGGGTGGAATCTTGAGTGCGAGAGATGCCAGTGAGTGAAATTCAAAGAGCAGTGCTTTGAGGGAAATGGTGGAAAATGGAAATTATATTGTGGGGTGGAGCCACACACAACCCAGCAGAGCATCATCATTTTCCATCGCACACACACACACACACAAGAGCGCGGTGTAATGTAAAATCGCACCCCCTGTGCAAAAATGAGTAGAAAGCCCAGAGAATTGCAGCAATGGTGAGCATTTTGTTAGACACAAATATTCTCCGTTTTCTGCATTATAATCCCCCCATTTCCCATTCAAAACCCTTTCGCAGAACGGAAAAATCCCGAATATGGGGAGATTTTGCGCGAGTGAGCTTGAATTTCCTCACGAGACGATAATTCATGGCACCCGCACACCGCCTATCCCCCGATGAATTATTTACTAATTAGAGCCAGGCAACTTTCCCGGGACTGTCAGTGGAGCGATTTATGGGGAATACTCTCTCCCCGCCAATGCATTTTATGAAATAATGTTGGGTATGTGGACGATATTGCTCTCTCTCTTCCCATACGGAGCCCGAAAAGGCAAAGAGTCCTCTTCGAGACGATCCATTTTCCAGAGCACGGCTGGGCGGCCTGTGAGCCACCCACAATGATTTATGCACTCACGCAAGATGGGAAATGCAGGAAAATGGTTGGAAATCCCGAGTTGGGTTCAATTAAATCAGCTTTTAATCATTTTGGTGGCTCTTCAAGAGAGATTTACAGTTGCAATATCTCTTGAATTTATGAAACTTACGACTTTCTGACCTTACAACTACGGCTTATGGTAATGGTGAGCAGATTCTTTGTTCATGACTGGGTTATAGGACAGTTAATCCTTCACTCTATAATTCTGGTACATGAACATATTTTAAGTTTAAGTGACATTTTGATCATTTATTGTTCTAATAGTGGTAACCGTGGCATTACATTATAACAAACTAAATGATAGATTATTTATTATTGACTGTAATACGTAAAATACATGTCGGATGACAGAAATATGAGAGAGCAGCAGATATTGGTAAACTCAGAGTTTGAACAAAGCGTAGTAAATGAAAACTCACCAGTATGAATGTAAGTGTGCTTCTTCATGTCACTCTTCTGGTGGAATCTCTTGCCACAGAAGGAGCACGGGTATGGCCTCGTGTCACTGTGAATAAGGAGGTGTGTTGACAAGGTACTCGATCTCTTAAAGGCTTTCCCGCATTGTTTGCACTCGAAAACCTTTTCTACATTATGCACAGCCCTAGATAATTGTTTAGAGTCAGAATATGCTCCACAACATCATAATATATTGCATTCGGTTGTAGTCCATTACCTGTGTTGACTTAGACTAACTTCATGGCCGAAGGTCTTGTTGCACAGCTCGCAGGCAAATGGTCGTTTGCCATTGTGGGATCTTCGAGCGTGAACCTCAAGTCCGTGTGCCGTTGAGAAGTTCTTCTCGCACTTGATGCATGAGAAGATGTCACCGATGAGCGGTGGCATGCCCTGACGCATGAAGAAGTGATGGTGGTGCACGTGATGGGGATGGGTGAAGTTCAGGTGGTTTCCCGAGGCTGCGCCTGCGGCGTTCTGGGTCATAAAGTTGCGAAATCTCACGAAATCCTCACTGGTAGTGGGATGGTAACTGGAAGATGAAGAGGAAGCTCAGTACTACTGGGTTAAGCTCATTAGAACAGGCGTGGACTTACTTGGAAGGTGAGTTAGCGACCTGTTGTCCTTGCTGCAAAGCTACAGCTGCAATCCAGGGAAATGGGTGGAACAGGGGCCTGGAAAGCATGTTGTGATCGTACATTGGCGGATAGTTAGGCCTAAAAGAAAGCAGGTCAGTAATATGTGGGTTCACTTGCGTTCGCTTAACTTTGAACGCACCTCAGCATGTCGAAGGTATTGGAAATGGTTGTTGGGGATTTTGCGGTTTTTGGTTGATCCTGTCGAAGCAAGGCGGAGACTGAGAAGGCCTCAGACTTCTTCACCAGCTGAAATATTTGTAAAGCATAGGTTAAAACAGGGTAATTCTTTGTCCTGCGACCCGATCTTACCTGACTTGAAATCTCCGTAGTTGGCGACTCAGTGATTCTGGGAGGTGGAGGCGAATCAACTTCAAGTTCTGGGGAACTTGATCTCGACCTCGATCCCTCTGGTGACTTTGAGCGACTTCTCGATCGCGACTTAATGCGCACAATGCTCAAGTTCGATGGTGAATCGCAAACAGATGGTGGCGTCTTGTGATGATACGTGCTGTTGTTGTTGTCCTCATCTTCAGAGTCAACTCGCTCCACCAGACGGTTCACGCCGAATTTTATTTCATCTGTCGAGTGAGTGAAAAAACTATTAAGACATGGAAAACCATTGAGCAAAAAAGGTTAGTGATTAATGAGGGGGTGCTCTGCTGTGTGTAATTTGTAGCGTTTATCGGTGAGGCGAAATCGAGGGGTGAATTACTCGGGGGACTCTATTTGTTCAGCCCCTGCAATTGAAAAGTTTTCATTGCCTTGGCCCTTGTGCACTGTCGCAATGTCCGTGGCGAATCGGGAAATTGCCAAATTGTTTCTCTCAAAATTGATGGTCTGGCTGTGTAGTTTTTCATATGCTCCATTTACTATGCATTGACTGTCAGGCCTAAACAGATGTTTTATTTACATTTGCCTCCATGGGCAAAAATTCACGCCATATCATCCATCTGATTGCAGCGAAGCCGTGTAATTGTCACAGTGAGAGGGTGAGATTTCTCATCCAAATTGATTTGTAATGCAGAAATTTGCAAGCTTTCTATTCTTAGCCTTTCATATTAGCATGTCAAAGAATCTTGTCTCAAAGAAAGAACCATTCTCAATGTTTATTTTCCATACAATGGAAAATTGCTTTCCACTTTGTTAGAAAGTTCAATGAGAGGACGACAGGTGTATTTCATAAAATGGTGCGAGATGCCATCCGAAAATAAGGGGTAAAAGCAGCGCACCAAAACAATAAAACAAGTTGTACAAATAACAATGCGAGTAATCTTCGCAAACCCCAAAATAACAATATCCCTCTGTATTTTGCGACCCCTGCCAGGCTTTCTCTCTCCCGATATTTCTAGAGAGGCTGAAAAAGGGAGAGTGAGAAGCTTGATGAGAAGTGAAAACTCTGTGACTGATTCTCGCCGAGGGGTTGATCATTGACAAAAAATGTGGTAATTTTATAGTCAAGACTAAATACCGTGAATATAGAAAAATTTTCTGATACAAGCGACTTGGAGAAGTCTTTCAATCTTAAGTATTGCCTGACGACAAGACGAAAAAGTGAATTTTTCTTGACATTGAATTATCAGCACCTATTGTAAATGCGAATTTTCTTAAGAACTTTTTTTGTAAATCGCCTTCTGTTACAAAATAATATTTTTATTTAAAATATAAGTAGTCATTATTCACTTATTTTCGGTTTTTTCTAAGAGTGTTAAAATCCTTTGTTTGATCCAGTGTTGAATTGAGCCCTAATTTGTCATTCTGCTATAAAACTACAAAAAGTAATCCCTTTTGAAGCAAGTGCAAAGCCCCTCGGCTTTTGCAATCCCTTCCAACCTTTTCCTAGTCTATTCAATGGTTGTTTCCTTCTTCTCACCCAGCATGATCTCAACCCCTCGACGCGGTGCAATGATAATCCTAAGGGAGGTTTATTTTGATTATTTACGGTATTGAATATTTTATATGCGCATTTATTTTAAATATGTATCGAAATATTGCTCTTTTTGGGCACTTTCATGGACCCTCTTGAAATCCACATGTCTCACTCATAGTTACACTCTTACCCAATGAGTTTTTTTTTCACTTGAAGTATTATTCATCATAATGACTCTATTTGGCGATTAGAAAATCTCTGAGGTGGAGCAGACTTCTCTGATAAGAAGTCAATGAATATTGTGAGTAAATAATCATAAAATTAAACTCACAGATAAAAGTTGCGGTGGAAGTGAGAAATCAAAATGCATTTGAATATAGTTTTTATGGCTGTTTGCCTATGAATGAATCCGAAATTCGACGTGCACCCATTGAGAATGTGAGAGATCAAAGGGTGCCATTGTGAATCACAAAGTACGTGAATCCGTGGGCATGAGAAGGGATTTCACGAAGAGCATATGTTAATAATATTAAACACTTAATTGGTATAAATCAAGTATTATCACACATTGCACTTAATCCTCTGGTCGAGCGATAAGATATCACGCGGGATCGCGGGGAAAAATGGACTCCAAGTGATAGTGACTCTGTAAAGTACCAACACACATTGATTTTGCAGGCCGTTCTGAGAGAAATCACAGAAAATTACTGAACAAACGTGGGCAATTTTGCAACTTTGGACGACTCACAAGTGCGTGATCACAGTAAAGTCAGCGAAAAGACTGTGGCGATGATTTGTGAAAAATGAAATCAATTTTAAATAGAAAATAAACCCCAAATACCATTCGACAAAATCCCCATTTTATGACACCTCATCGATAACAACTTTATTGCCCCGTCAGAAGATGAACAGAGGTGAAGTGTAACACCCATGGATAAATATTGTATTTAACTATCGCACTTTTGACTGTGAACGGCTGAAAAAGAGGTTGAACGAGAGAAACTGATAATGTTCATACAGGGTAATTCATTTCCTTAATCATTCTGCATACTGCAGAAATGGTTGGATTTTGAATATTTGAACAACTGTCAAAAATATATTGACAGATGGTATCTGCCAAAATCTTAAAAATAAAATCTGTTCACAAGAATCCCGTTCATTCAATTCAGAATTTCAAGTAGTTCGGCTGAAATTTATTTAAAGCACTGCCAATACTTAACGAGTCAGCCTTATCAAGAGCTAAATCCTATTTGTATGAAGTGATTTAAAGTGTGAGATAGACATTGCCCGTGAGGTAATAAAACTGAATGAACTCCGGCGTGGAGATTTCACTGCAACATGCTTACAATGTTTTCCCATTTGTCACTATCAATAAGTGTGAAAATTTTTAGCAGTGGAAAAAGTACCTCTTTTTATTTATCAGCGCTTGAGTCAGCGGTATTGTTGGGCAATCAAGCATTTTCATTTCAATCCCCAAGCCATGGAGTGTGCAGTGTTATGACTGATTTTAATTAATTTTATCTGGGCCGAAGCCCAACACCATAAATAATATTGATTTTTTGGGAATGACGGAAACTTTTTATTGCATCCAATCGCGAGTATGAAAATTTATTGCCATTCTTTTGACTACATATATGCTGATATCGCTCCGCACTTCTTCGTGGGTGTGTGTCGTCTCAATGACAAGAAAATTCTTAGAAAATGATATCGCGAGATTGTTTGACTTTCTCAGGCTTGTGTTTTGCCATTCTGGAATGAAACACCTGTTAAAGGAGATAGCCAAAAAGTAGTAACCCATCGCTGATGAGTTACATTTTTTATCCTTATACACATATTTACGTTATTTCTAGTTAAATCTGTCAGTGACTAACATTCCTGACTGATGCAAAGGAAGTGAAGTATGAGAAGCTCTTCACAAGACACCGAAATCAATTAAGAATCAATGACCGCGCACATAAAACGGAAGCTTCCAATTGAGAATTTTCACTCAATTGCACGTGAATTTTCTTTTAATTCCCAACATACGCTGAAAACACTCGACTTTTCCACATTCCAAGACTCTCTTGGAGACGTATTTGGAAAATCACGATAAGAAGTATGCGCGACTGTTAAATCTTGGAAGTGCCCTAAAAAATTCCATAAGTTTTTTGAGAGCACTGGTGTTTATATTGAATATTGAGATTATGGGTGGGATTTTTGATTCCATAAGAGTGATTTATTGGCTACTGGCTAAAAGTTGCTCAAATCAACAGAGTTTCGATGGAGATACGTATTTATTAATAGTGGCGATTGAAGGGGGAGAAATCGCACGTTATCTTGTCAATTTCGGAGATTGATAAGGCGAAAAAGCGCCATATTCTAAATATTGCTTGTGCCGCCGATGTGAGTTTGCGTCTTACCTTTGCACTTTGAACTGTCACTGCCATTTGTCAGGTCCGTTATTCCCGCTCCAATTACACGTGGGGCAATGGGGTTGATAAATCTGTAGGGATTCATGAAGTTTCCATTGAAAAGGAGTGGAATTCCGCCGCCATTGAGAACTGTAAATAAATACACAGAAGGACATTTTTTATAAGTGACAAAATTTAAAGCCAACGGACTTCTTTCATAAACAATCACACACTTGCGTGTGTGATTCAAGAGAATTAATAAAATTTTCATTAGTGGCATGTGTGACTTGGCGTCCCTCTAATTTCCCTTCCATGTCCAGTGCGTGCTGGAGGAATTGGTCGCGAGACGGCGAGAAGTGAAGAAATTCTGTGATGCTCACTTGGTCGAGGAAAAATTAATCTCAAAATCTATTTTAATTAAAAAATGCTTCGATTTAATTACACTGAAAAAGACCGAGTGCGCATCTAGCGCGAGTGTTTTGTTGGCTGGAGGCATAAGGAAAATTTTGATTGCTGCACAGTAAATCATGTGAATATCAAATAACTCTGTCATTTAACCATTTAAGATTCATCTTTTTACATCGCGTGGCGACACCGCCGCCGCCGGAGATTGAGGCTTTTGTCAATTCCACTGGGCTTGACTCATCAAGTCGAATTTCTGAGCATAACAACTGAGTTAATTAAGAGAGGGAGGGCTATACTTGACTACTGAAATAGATTTTTGTTTGTCAGACTGGAAATTAACGAATATGCTGCCATTTGGACAATTTTTCGACTGCTATTTTGGTTGTTGCATGATTTTGAAATCCAATAATTCAATTAAATGGCCATCAAACGATTGTGGCGCCAATAAGGCGGGAGTTCTCACAAATTGTCTTGTGCCTCAGCTCGACTTTTAACTATCACATATCTGCATTTTAAATCCATAGAAAATCTTTCAAAACCGTACTATCTTGCAGAGAATTTGTGAGCAAACAATTTTCTATCACCGGATATCGTTTCCTATCATTGCACGATTCATAAATTAGTGGGTGACTCCAATGCATAATAACCAACCGCGGCAGAAGTAATTGGGCCTCTGCACTTGTAAAGTGGTTGAATAATTCATTGGCTGAGCACATGAGTAACACATGTGGCACGTGTATTTTAAAGCGGAAGTGTTGACCTTTCGTCCAAAACACCATGTAATGACATTAAGTGCTTGAACTCTTCACCCATGGGGGATTTATTGTGATGAGGTCTTGCGCAAAATCAAGAGAAAATACGCCTTGTTACTCATCCATTTTGATGCCCAAAGCATTATTGATGGGCCACGCGTGCTATTTCCAAAATGTTCCAATTTTTCTGATTTAAGACGGTCACCCATCGTTTGTGCAATTGAATTCAATGCGATAATCCAACACAATCAATCATCTTGTGATGGTGCTGGTGAGGAAAAGTCATATTCAAATTGGGCATGACCCATGGATGTGACTCTTGGTTGTCCATTTAATTGAATCCAAACAAGACGACACCAGGCAAATTAGTTTCCAGCAACTTGTTTCATGGCTTTCGATAGTCCATTTGGGCTGTTTAATACAAATCAATAAGATTTATTTTCCCTCCAACCGCATTAATGTTTGTCTGACAATTCTCCTGCCCTTCCAATGCCATACTACCGGTCCAAATTAACTTTATATTTTCCTAATAGGATTTGTTGAAATCATCAGGACAATGAATAAAATATCGCATAATTCTGATTTGACCATAAATCGATTGGCTTCTATAAGGCGATTTCAGCTACGAAATTGCATGAAATATTGATTACAAGTTGTGTGCTCAAGAATTTTCTTTATTGCAAGGAATGGAGAAAAAGCGCCAAATTCTGTCATCACTTTTGCATATTTCCAACATGAATTAATCGTGCTTAATTCTTAAATTTCAATCTTCATCCGGTACTCGAGGCTGGCAATAGAGCGCCCCAAAAGGCATTGAAATGAATTCGAGAAAAGCCACATGTTAAATCAGCGAGAAATTTTTTAGGAGTAATTTTACCGTTTGAACTCGCTGGCGCCAGGCTGAAAAGAGCCATATTGTGCATGCTATTTTCAATCAGTATTGAGAAATTTATAGATTGTGCTCTATTTCTTTCTTAATGACTCTTTTGACAATTAAAAATCATGAAAGTATCTGCATCAAACTATGTTCTAAAATAGTTTATTATTATTGAATAATCTCCTCTCTTTACAGTTGGAGAAGAAGCAGTTATCCGGAAAGAAGCACTCAGCGAAGTTCTTCAAGTCTCCATTTTCTCCCCTTTTTACTGCATCTCCACACATTGGGATGCTTTTTGATGCGATGCTCCTTGTTTTTCCTCCTCACTTCACGCATAATTAATGTCTTACACTTGGTCCATTTGGAAATGTCAAAGATTTGTAGTTTTTTGCCATTTCAATCTGCGATAAAAATGCCACATGTGACTATCTTTTTGTTTACTCTCTGGGCACCAACTAATTAACCAATTGAGCTGTGAATTCCTATTGCTTCTGCTGTTGCTCCTCATTTGACTTTCATTGGGGAATTTTCCTCCGTCGAAGACGAAGGAGAGTCTTTCGCAACGATAGAAATTGAATTGTTTTTCACGTGAAGACCCAATGGAACTCTTTTCCGTGGGCGTGAAAAGAAAGAGAAGGAAAAACTGTCGATGGATTTAAGATGAGATATCGCATAACGACATAATTTATGAGCATTAATTCCCTCGAGAAATCTCTTAATAAATTGCGCGAGTTGAAGCAATTTCAATTGCCACTTCTGTGTTTTTTCTTCGCTGGCCACATAAGCCATACATATGGCTTGATAAAAAAGAATCTTGATAATCTTGATCATGAGGAATTCGCATGAGAGGATGTGGGTAAAAAATAATGATTTTTCAGTGTGTAAATATGAAGTTCGCTGATGTTGGGTGGATTTTCCTTTCTTCACATGCCAAACTATGTGACATTTTTTCATAGCTGAGAGGATTTTTTTGTTTGTTGCAAATGCTGCTTTTCCAGGGCACTTTTTCTCTTTTGGGGATGGCCGTAATCCCTAGGAATTTTCATGGTGGAGTTAATTGGAAATGACGAAAAAGTAATTACGCACTGGGCTTTGCTATTTGACAAATTAAACCAGATACTGTCTGGGGCTGATGGTGATGAATTTTATAGGGACAAGAAAAATACAGAGGACAAACATGGAAAAACATAGTAAAGAGAGAAAGAAGTGGACGTTTTGGTAAAGTCAAGCATGATTATCCATAGTCACTGTTGGAAGACAAATTTGAGATTGCTTCTGGCCGATCTCAAAGGCACCCCCACAATCCCCACTTCTCGGAAAATTCTTGCGCTTTACTTTTCCATCTCTCTTGGGAAATAATCGAAAAATTATCGATATCATTTCCCATGTGCATTGAGGCAGAAAATTTCCATACAACAAGCTGGAAAATATGATGTGTGCAGAAATCGTTGGGGTGGTGCAGCCAGTTTTTGATCATGGCAGCGAAAAAATAATGCAAATTATTCTCCCCACCTCCGCGCAAAAGTCCTCTTTATGCAAATAAATTAGCAATGAAACACACCTACACAATTGGCAAAATTTATATGCAACATGATTTATGATTACACGGATAAATATGTATGGATCTGTGTTTTTAATTTCTCACACCATTCATTTTCAATAGTAATTCATTGGCGTTGTTTCCCCAAATAGCCAAAACCCTTTCAAAAGTGGTAACATTATCCATACACAGTATTAAAAAGCTCAACAAAATAGCATGAGAGAGCTTTGCGGGGTGTGAGGTTGAGCTTTCAATTTGTGCGTGTACGGTTCAGGGTGGAAAACCATGGATTAATTAGTGGTTTCAAATGCAAAATCCCTTTTGCCTAATGCAATTGACAAGGGATTTCTCATTTCATCCCCAAAAATGAGGATACCAGAAATTATGGACACACAAGCAAATTGTTATTACATTATTTGTATAATTTTCCGTGATGACGATTTCCTGTATATCACACAAGATTCAGAAATTGTAAATAAAGTGTATAAATTATAAAAATATTACCTCATTTTGTGATGTTAAATCATATGTTCAAATATTGAGTTCTGCTTATGATATTCTTTTCATTCTGGTCGAAAAATTAATATTTCACCCATTAATTAATAATTTTAGTATCTTAATTTTTAAAGAAAAACACAGCAAAACTTGAATATTTTCATTTCAGACCAGGACAAAGAAAAAATATTTCACATTTGAAGAACAAAAGTGCTTATAAAAATATGAATTGATGTATTAATTCAGATGCAGCAATCCATGTAATTCCTATTTTTTCTAAATTTGAATTTCACTCTTTTTTTTAAATACAAACAATTTAATATCTGCATTTATGAACAGAATTCTTTATATATTGAGACAGTTATGTTTTTTTCTGGTGAAAGACACAGGCGTTTCCATAATTTCCTATCAATCCTTCCGCATACACTTTAGTGTTTTGGGGAAGACACAAGGATTTTCGTGTCTTCATCTGTTGCATTGGTTGATGTCAACATCTCCCAGAACGTCTCTAATTGTTTCTGTAATTTCCTTGTGAGCCCCACACGCTCAGAGGGCAAGGATGATTTTCAAGTGGTCCCTTGGGAGGATGGATTGGAATTCATGTGCTTACCGTCGGTTTTCCCTTTTGGCGTGACCACTTTGAAAGCACTTGACGTTGAACCATTTTGCTGTGTGAGCATCATAGATTTGCTCTCAGTCAATTGTCTGTTGAAATGATTCTTCTCACTAACACTAAAATCAAGTGGTAAATGCACTGAAGACTCTCCAATTTCCATCTTGATAAAATCTCTGCTAGTTTACTTATTTTGGGAGAAAAATTGCCATAATTCGCACTACGAGTGGCACGCGCAATTCACACTTACTCTCCTTTTGCACAGGTGACCTACTCGCCTGAGGTTCTGATTGACACTATTCTACAAATTTCGGGTACTGGCACAAATCATGGCCGGGCTCCCGGACACTCTGTCCCGCTCGCGCGAGGGTGGCCAGAGATTGGCAAGACTTTCGGCTGACTCACCCGCAACCCACGTTGGGCTAAACCACGTCGAACACTGAAATCTTGCAGTGATAGCGCTCACCAGCCTGGCGGACATGGTGAGTGTGACAGATAGCAAGAGCAACAGATTTTCAAGCTCCGCCTTTCAATGGAAATCCCCTCCACTGGAATATACACTGAAAGGAAGCAGCGCGGCAAAAAATCCCAGGCCTCAGTGTTTGTTCTGGGCGGTGGACTCAACCCGCCACTGTGTGTGTGACGGAGGAGAAACGGAAGCGATTTGTGTATCAAGCCAAGTCAAGTGGAGCGCCATTGAATCGCGAATGCCACGAAAATGGGGCTGAAAAGTGAAATGACGAGGATTTCTTATAGGGGTTGACAGGGTGCGGAGTATGCAAAAATGAGATTATTATGATCAAGTATAATAGATTTTGCTCGCAGGTTCAGAGAGTAATTAAATGTAAACATAAGTACTGCCCATCCTCGGGTTTTCAGGAAAAAAACACATAAGAACACGTCATGTGAGGTTAGAGCACCGCAATCGATCTAACATTGATTTCGATAAATGTTTTCCAATTATCTATCGACAATCCCAAATGTATGGTCGTGTTCTGGAGGCTCTGTAAGCCATTATCGCCAATTTCAAATATGGAAAAGTGATTGAAAATGATAAGAGGGCCCCTTTTTATGGGAGAGAGCACTTGGATTTTACGAGAGGTGGAAACACCAGTTAATCTTATCATTTTGATTTAGAAGTCATAGCGATAATTTTTCACCTCAGTGTCGCGACTCTCCATGGATTCGTGTGCGGTGGATGATAGGATTGCAAGGGTGATTTTCTCGCAAAAAGGGGCGCAGAAACTTCCCCTGATGCGTTCCACAGGAAGACACAGTGTGTCAGGGATTTTATCAATCCAAGAGTGGCTCAACACTTGCGCACGAGACTGTTGCCGAGATTGGTTACCACGATCGCTTGGAGGCGGTTCCTGGGCGTCTTTCTCGCTCTGACCATGCGAGCAGGAGTGAGAGATTTGGGGGAAAACACAAAGCACTGCGAGATGTGACAGAATGGGAAAATCCGACAAGGATTTCCCGCTCTTGGCTACTTTGAAAGCACCAACTGCCGGGAAAGTTTGAGCTTTTGCCGCTCGAGGTGATTTTCCTTTCAGCAAAAGCACAAAAATTCCTCGTTACATTTGAACTACCAGCTTTTCAACGGTGACTTCTTCTCCCCGCACATCCCGAAATAATATTTTTTGTGGCTCTCCCTCGAAATTGGGAAGTAAATATTCTTTTGATTCGAATTTATCGCTTGTCATCAGTGGAAATGCGGGTTTTTCTCATTTCTTTGTCTTCTCACCGCGTTTTTTTCTCCACCAGTCAAGAGAGAAAAAAAAACATCTTGTTGATTCTTTGTTTTAATTCCATTTCCTTTCCCTCCCACAGAAATTAATCAGGGGACGTATGAGATGTTGGCGGAGGATAAATCCCCGAAAGCAACATTGTTGAGCCACTGATTAGACAATATATTGTGGATGGTTTTAGGGTGAGTATTGGCTTACTTCAACGACTGCTATTTGATAAATTTATTTTTATTTATTGGAAACATGGAAAATATTAATAAAGTCATGAATTAACTAGTATGTTTTATTACTATCCTATGTGATTAACAGATACATCACTAACATCTACCACTTAACTCTGTCTCTATTCGCATACTCGTATTTATTTAAAAAAGAAAATTCGAATCTAATTTCTTGATTTGAAAAAAAAACAATGGTATTAGCAAATGAGATGTTTTTCGATCCTTGATAGTTAGAACTTCGTCAATCACTGCCTTCAGATGAAAAAATACACTAAAACACTGGTGCCAGAAGTGGAATTAACAGGACTTTCAAAAATTTTCCAAAATGTCTCTACACTTTCTTCCATTACTGTATATTGTACCACGCTAAATTTCGTGGTTGCTGCACGCAAAGAGGGATGTCGGCTAAATGTTGCTCCTTCAGAGTACATAATTAAAAGTGATTCCATTTTACAGCATTTTATATTGCTACTAATTGGGTGAGAGGATCTACCATGATCTTGCCGTTGTGATGACGCAAATGATTGAGTAGGGCCCTCATTGAGGAGGTCATAAAAATTGCAACGACCTCTCCCTCGCTCGATCTTCATGTGAAATCTTCTTTGAGATTGTGCCAAGTAATGACGCGTTGATTAGAGGATGGAGATTCTCTCCGGAGCCACAGCGAAAGTGACTCACAGAGAGCATGAATGAGTTCATGAAACGAATTAATTGACTTGGCAAATCATTTGTATGTATGTGGAGATATTAGTGCTTCTGACATCATCACTTAAAATTGAATGTGTCAATATATGCAAAAATGATCTCCGCGTCTCTCAACCATGATTTATGCTGCGTCTCGTTCTGAAAATAGATCCATTTTTATATGCAACGACTGGGAGATTTTCTATTATTAACTCGCAGAATTCTTGGGCTTTTTTCTTTCACCAATAATTTATTGCATCTCTCATGTGATCAAGTTAATGGGATTTAATGAATCTCCACTATGAGGATTTCAATCTATCCCACCCTCGCACTTCCCATATTCGCGCTATAACGAAAAAGTGAAGAGTTTAATTGATAATTACATGTCATCAGGGCAATTTAATCAACTTTTGAGCATCAATTCTGCCTTAAATTGTTCGCCTCTGCAGAGTATCGCCTTTTTATTTCCCTCAATCGACCAATTATTGCTCAAATTGTTTTTTTTTCCTTCTATACTGTGAGGAAGTTGCTACATTTTTCCCATGACAGCAATTTGTCGCCCTGAAATGAGACCCTCAAGAGCCAATTCACTCGATTCTGCCTCTGATGCAGTTTGAGATCACATCCAGTTGATGTCATATTTTGCATACAATTCTCACGCCCCCGGGAAATTGTTAGATGTCAGCAGAATTGCTGTGTGAAAATGGTCACGAATCGTGATATTTTTCGCGCGATGTTATTTTATAAATCCCAATTAACAGACGCAGCCAAAGCATGTGCTCCAGCAGATCTCGCGTATGTGCCTTGTTTTGCTTGCAGATATACAGAGATATTCTAAATGGGGTTAATTAGTGGCGATACTTTTTGCCTCACAATTCTGCCCATTCATGAGCAGAAATCCATGTTTTTTCCACGCCTGATTCGATATGCCAAATTGAAGGCAATTCTCTCGAGACAAATCGAGGAGAAAGGAGAGCATTTTTATGCTCGGCGCCATTGTTTCTAATGTGGCGTCGTAACAGTTTAAATTGAAACCCTTTTTAGAATAATGACGCCAGCATAGAAATGAAAATTTTCCCCATTTTGTAGCCATTACGAGCTAGAGGGGTTGTCATTGGGGGAAGAAAGAGATGTTTTAGGAAAAAAGGGAGAGGTAAGTGCAGATCTTCTTCTCTTCAATGCTGAACCCCTGCGATTCTGTGGCAAATGACACACTTTGAATTCAGTTGCAATCTTCTCCAAACTCTTTCAATTGTCTTCTCAACCACAGAGGCTCACCAATCAGCTTTTCTGCCGTGGAATCTTTGGCCTGTATTTGGTGTCAGGGGAAATTTTCTCTGGCGAAAAATCTCCTGAAGTGGAGAAGATTAAAATGTATCCAAAGCGATTTGGAGGGTGGCAAAATACGGCAATAGCCAGTCATTTGAATTGCATTTCTCCCTCGAGGACGCGCATGCCATCGATTTGGAGTCTCTTTTGGCGGTTGGGAAAACAATTGGCGCGAAAGATATAAATTTCACAAACCCTCTGGAGTGGTTTTGACTCCCATCGTGACTAAATCCACAGGAATTGGAATGGTTTTTTGAGAGGTTGATTTATAGATTTATCCCCATATTTGAGTATGCTTTTTACAACTCCACTGATCAATTCATTATTGGCAGGGGAAGCTATTTTGGGGTGTGGAAACTCAAACACTTCACGCTCAATTTCCGCGGAAAATTCATCTGCGGAGCGTGAATGAGGAAATCAATAGCGTCTGACCAACAATTCATAAATAATTCAAGAGAAAGCGGCCCAAGAGAGCAAAACCTATAATTTCTAATTAAATTAATGACTCTCGTCTTCCATGTTTCTGGTATTGCGACATACAAGCCCATCCAGACCTTAAAACAATCGACTTGGTCACGTGTCGTTTCATGTTGATTTATTTTCCAGAGACTGTTTTTTACAACAACCCTCAGACATGTGAGTAAATATGAAAATATAGGCGAGTATTTAAATATTTCATTGACGCACTCGAGATAGAATCTAATACTCCCGGAATGATAGGGGCTCCGGATGCGTCTTCGCATCACCTCAATTGAATAATTCAAATACCAATTCGGAAAAATTTAACGGCACGGTGTCAATAAAAGGCGATGACCGATGAAAGTCATTAAGTGTTGAGAGGTCAATCAAAAAGCGACCCTTCGCTTTGTTCTTGCGTGTTGCTAATCCTTCGATGTGAACCAACGGGAAAAATTCCCCGGAAAATCTATTACACTGCAAACAAATGGACACAAATTGTCAACATGTTTGCATGTCACATGATTTTATTTTCCTCTCGAAACGGGACATAATCTAGTTATTGGCAGAAGAGCAGACGGCAATTCCCGATATTGGGGAATGTATGGTGAAATATATGCTGAAGGTGTCCCATAAAAAGTGTCCTAGCCACTCCTTCTCCCCTCAGGGAGCTTCTCCAAAGTGCAGAAATCGCGTGACTTCTGTGGCTTTTCGCTTGAGGCAAGATAAACATCCAATAATGTCAAATCGACTCTCGATATGAACCTCCCAGTGGAGTCATTTGTTACCCAATAATGTCCTTTCGATCCCCTCGGCTGTACCTTTTAATGGGCGCTTGTCACCGACTGAGAAATCGAATAACGACCTCACATGGTGAAAACTTCTCATCGCACTCAATATTAATGGGATCTGACTGTATCTTTAGCGGCAAGCCATTTGGGGGACTTTAACGAACC